CCATCAGAATGATGAGTCCAACTCCAAATCTTCGACCTTCATTTCACGAATGGTACTCCGGAGGATACCCGATTCGCATACTCCACGTACTCGTGGCCGAAAAACCGTCTCAAGTAGTACTCTTCATATGGAATTCGTTCAGCAAAGAAGTGCCAAACCACGACTGCAAATGCAACGGTCGAGACAGGATTACACAGCATGATTTGGGTGCCAACTGCCCACACGAGGAAACCACTGTACCCGGGATGACGAACAAATCTATAGACTCCATAAGTAACTAGCTTGTGGTGGTCCTCATGATAGATCTTAATCAGATGTGTAAATGACCTACCCGCAGTTATAATCGCCAGTTTACGTACGATTTCTCCAATTACGACCATGGCAAGGCCTGTCTGACTAACCCACCAGTATTCCTTAAGACCAGGACACAACATAATTTCAAGAAAGTACTCTAAGAAAGACAAGACCATTGCCAAGATATAGTTTTTGCTTATCAGAAGGGAATTTAGAGTAACATTTGACCTTCCATGAATTCCAACTGCCAAGATATATTCAGAAATGTGAAAGAAGATGATTGCAAATATCATCTGAGATAATTGTCTGCATGCTGTGTAACTGAATATTTCTGTCATTTTTTGTCAACTCAAAGTATCAGCCACGTGTCTTTCACGCACTGAAAAAGAATTTAAAATGTATTCGGCTACTGCACTAAAGTTTGCAGGTAATCTAAGTTTTAGTTCAGACCTGGAAATGACGCAGAGCTATATAACACCAATACAGAGAAATTCTTATGAACAAAATCCTGGAGATCCTTCAAGCACAACATCTGCAAAGAAAAAATACGAACAATCAAACCATGTTTGTTAAATAGAACTATCAGGGATAAATGTGCTGTGATAAATCAGTGGAAATTCAGCTTATCCAAAGAGGATTTAGTATACCCTATCCAAACAATTTTACTAATGGAAGGTTTGCGGAAAAAAAAAAGGGTATCACAGCTTCGGGAAGATTGGTAGTTTCATAATTAACACAACAATGACACAAAAATGTAGATGCCAACAAATGGAATCAGCATAATTGGAGTATATCTTTCAGCTACAAGGTATCTATAATACATCATAGGAATCTAAAGAGTCAACAACAATTCCAAAGAATGATATATCTATGAAATAAACAAACAGTTCATGAAATTTATAAAACTGCTGATGGAATAAACATTGTGAAAAGGTTGAGTAGAGAAAATCTGTCAAAAGCAAATTCAAGTATGCTTTAGTTACAACAAAACCCTTACCCATACTGAAACCTTATACTCCATGTGTAAGATCAAAATTCTAAAACATCTCATGAAGCTTAATAAAAACTGATCAATTTAGATTAATTGAAGAAGATGTGCAATAATGGATTTCCTTTTTCTACAGAGCACCAATTTGCCACATTAAACCTCTACCACCCCCTCCCAATCTCTCAGCTTTTCAGCAGAAAAAAGAAAAAAAAAAATCCAATTTCTTTCCTAGCTATAACTCCCAAGAAAACCTCCTCTGTCAAACTAAACTATAAAATCTTCCATTTTCTGTTGTAACCATGCCCCAAAAAGATGGTAATCAATTTCTGTTATGTTAATCACTTGATTCAAGATTTAGCCTTTCTCATCATTGGAGTTATGGTGTTCGTGTTTTTCTTGGTGCAACTTTGCAGTTTGGAGGAAGGATTTCTTAAATGTTTTATTTTTAGCCCCTTGTAATAGGGGCAGATTTGTTTTCTTTTCACTCCCTCCATTCAGAGTTTGTACCTGAACACTTTCTATCTTTTCACCCAACAATGAAAACAAAGTTTGTTTCTAGTTCAAAAAAGATCATTCCAGTATCTTCTACTAAATTGGCAGGAACAGCAAATGCTGTTGATTGTCCCTTTTCTTTGCAGACCACACACCAATTTGGAAATAAAATCCAATTTGGTCACCTTTATTGTCATCCTATCAAGAGAACTTATAATCTCCTTAGGAATTTCACTTCTCCGTACCACTTTTATCAAATCCTTCTCAAGAGTTGATGCACCTCAAGTAATTTCCTTAACAGTGGTTTTGTTGAGAAAACCACTGACGGATACAATAACCATATTTAGAACAAATAACCTCTCTGGAAAAGAAGCAATTCTGAAATTTATTCTTCTCGCAAACTTCTCCTCAAGATAATCTTGACTGTCGAAATAAATGCATCTCATTCCCGACCATCAACAACTCAAACGCTTCTCATTCCTAAGCTTTCCATTCTAGTTCAAATTTTACTAGGGGTGTAAATAGGTCATTTCAGATCGATTTTCCAAACAAACTGAACCAACCTTAGAAAAATGTAAAAATAACAAACTGAACTGGGCATTGGTGATGAGCAATTGGAAGTGTTACTACAGTCACACATCGGTTCGCAGTTATGCAGACCCAAGTAATGCAGAAAACTGTCTTTTTCTTTCATGCCAAATAATTTTCGCAGTGCTAAATCACTGCCATTTGCTCAATCCATAAACAAAGAAGTTGTATTCAAGCAACATGTTAAGGGGGCAAGAAAATTTATCAATTTTTCCCATCAATGAAGAACCCCCCCAATTTCAATAGCAGTACGAAATTCCCCGAACGGCTTTCATTCTGCATCCTTCTAAGTAGTACGTTCAATGTACAACCTAAAGCCATACACTAATGAATCGCAAATTGCAAAGAAAATAAAGTGAAACAGTAGGAACCACAATTGAACATAAACCATAACCATGAAGAAAAAATCAAACAAAAAATCAAATTTCTAACCCAAAAAAATACAATGCTAAACCAATGATACTTTAAAACACATTGAATATAAAATGCTACTTACAAACAAAAACAAAAATTCTCAACCACTGACCTCGAATGGAATTGCCGTTCGGAATCACCCCAACTCAGTTCAAACAAACCCCACAAAACCAAACTTGGAATCGCCGTCTGCACTGTATCCTGAAGCCCCGAATCGATTCGTACTGTTTGATGAAGCCCAAAACGTCCACTCGATTTGCGCCGTCTGAATACAAGTACCGAACGCAAAATCGAAAGCTCCAAGTGATTGGAATTCCAGAAGAAGTATGAACAGTCGATTGAAGGAAGCCTTGCGAGCGAACGTGCACATGGAGATTGACCCGACCCGTATATATTTAACCTAAAACGTGGGGATTCGACCCGTATTATTTGGCCGTAAGCCCGACTTGTTTGGCAGGTGGAGGACACGTAGATGCTTATTCCTCTTTATCCGCAATTATCAAAATGAACCACGATATTTAAGTTCTCAAAAAAAAAAAAAAACCACGATATTTATTTGAACCAACCAACCATCTCAATAATTTTAGGGAGTGAGAGATAAATATTTTAGATAGCAAAATAAACTTATGATAAGGATTAAAATTTTAGAGAGAAATTACAAAAGTTTTAGAGAGAACAAAACAAATTTAAAATAAATAAAGTTAGGAAAAAAAATAAAATTTCTTATAATTTAAGATGAAGTAAAAACACAAATTTAAAATTTAAAATAATAGGGATTTTAAAAACTTATTTTTAATTAATTATTTTGAAAAAAAAATCACTTGAAGAACCATCTCCTAAATGTAAAGTGATTTCAAAATTATTTATTATTGGTCTAAAAGGGTTAGAGTTAATTGAGATGAAATGTGTTCAAGTCTCCGGATGGCCACCTACCTTAAGAATTAGTAATTTCTATGTGTTTCGTATAGATGTTATTTTTTTTAGTACAATATGTAAGGGTGGGTGATTAGACGTCTTAACCGGCTGAAGTACCCTAATGTTAGGGAAATTTGAGGTTTTTGACCCCACCAATAATTGAAATTGGATATCTGCCCCCTTTTTTAAAAAATCTTATATCTGACCCCACCTTCCCTTAATTTTAACCTTTCCCCAAGCGAGATTACCATAGTACTCTCATGTTTAAAAAATGAACTCCCTCCAAGTAAAACCGGTGAAATTCATTTTTATTAACCCTAATTTCCACCCCATCTCTGATGTTTCTTGGCTCCCAACGAAAATTTCCACCCCATCTCGGTTCCTAAAACCCTAAACCCCATCCCAGATTGAACGTTATCTCGGACGTCGGACGAAGTCATCCATAACATCATACAATCGCTTCCAAGTCTTTCTCTTCCATTATTTCGCACCTCGAAGTCATCGATCGCAAGGTTAGTTTGCTCGGCTCAAATATAACGAAAATTTTACTTATTTGTTGTTCTGAGTATCATTATCGGTGCTATCTGAAGCATCCATGTAGATTTATGGTCAATTTCATGTTGTGCAAGTACAGGACTGAGAAATCGAACGAAGAATTCAATCCCGAATTCTATCTCGGACTCAATCCCGGACGACAACGGTTTGGGATAGAATCCGGGTTTGAAGCCTTCGTTCCAGGATCGAGATGACGTTCTGCCTTCCATCTCGGATGTTTGTCTCGGTCCGAAAAGGTCTGGGATGGAAGATAGAACGACGCCTTCGATATGATCTCGGATGAGGCTATTCTGCCTTCCATCACAGACCTTTTCGGGTTCGTTTCGTTCCGGGGATGAAATGCAGAAAGCAGTCTCACCCTTACAAATATTTTTTTAAAGTTATTTTTAACCTTGTTGCAGTCTTTATCTAATTTTTTTAATTTTAACTTTGTATAGGAAACATGATGGATTTAAGACTTATTCTGGTTCGAAATGACTGGTTTCCGGCCTCATTAACAAACTTGCCTATGTAGATAAAACCACATCTACCCTTAAGGCTAGGTTAACCCCAACCCAGTTAGACATGTTTAGGCAAACATGTTTTAGTCCTATTTTGGACATGGACATTGTATTTAACGGCCCATTGATCCATCACCTGTTGTTGAAGGAGGTTGAGGAGCCTAGGGAGGATGTCATTAGCTTTGATCTACTTAGGAAAAGGGTGTCTTGCGGTAAGCGAGAGTTTGATCTAATCACTGAGCTTAGGCATAAAATGCATAGAGTAGATAACGATATTCCCAGCCGAAGACTTAGAGCACGTTATTTTAAGGACAGTGTGAGGGTTAAGTGTAACGAGCTGGAGAAGATTTTTATGGAGCAAGGTTTTGACAACGACAAGGATGTTGTCAAGGTTGCCATAGTCTACTTCATAGAACTTGCCATGACGGGTAAGGAGAGAAAGCAGTACATGGATACGAACCTGTTAGGTATTGTGGATCAGTGGGAGTTGTTTTGCAACTATGACTGAAGTAAGATGATTTTCAAAAGGACAATTTGGAGCGTGAAGAACGCTCTAAAGGATAAACTACCGATGTACCAACAAAAGACGATAGACGACCCCACACACGTTGAGACTTACAGTCTCTATGGGTTCCCGTACGCGATTCAGGTTAGCAAGGTTTAAGTTAACTGGATAATTATATTAATTATTTAACTACATCATGTATTTGACTTCATGTGATTCCAGGTGTGGGCATATAAGACTACCTCGACGTTGAGTGCGAGTAGCAACGAGGTTGAGTGACAACGACATTCATCAACTTCTTAGATGGTCGTGCACATATTCTCGCGAGTTTCGTGTATTGGCGAGTGATGTATTCGATAACACGCGGGTAAGTAATTATCAAAGAATCGTATGCTTAATATTTGTTCTTTCATTTGGATCATAACACGCGATTCCATGCAGTCTAAGATTAAGGAAACTTGGAGTCCACGGATGCTGAGCGACAGCACATGGACTGTATCATGCTTCCACCGGTAGCTCGCATTGTATCTCCTCCAAGAGATGATATTGACGTACAACCGGATCCGCCTGTTGTTGAGGTACCTCCCACCGTGAAAAAGGGAAAGCATGCAGAAAGAGAAGAAGATTGTAGAGGATCCGGTAGAAAGAAAAAGTTCAGTAAGAAGCCCGCCCAGCGAATGATTTCGTGGTCGATGAAGGACATAATGGGCATGCAACAGGCAAGAAGACAAAAAAGAAGAAATATAAGAAGAGGATCAGTAGACGGTTGCAGAGGCTCGATGATCGAGTTAATGTTATTGAGGCCACCTTGGGTGGCATTGAAGTTGCTCTCAAAGGTATCCAGAGGTACCTTAATAAAATGTCAAAGGTACATGTTTTATACGTATATAACATTAATTCTACTTAATTATTATTTATTACAATAACGCTTATGGGTCGGTCTTTTCGTACAGGGTAAATTCCCTTATCCGAGCAAATATTTTGGAGGTGGGGGTGGGTCCGATGATGATGATCCATCGAATCTAAGGCATGGTGAGACCCCTAAGCCAAATGGAGGTCCGAAGAGTATGAACGAGGATCTGATGATTGAAGAGGACCCCAAGACTAACGAGAGATTGACTATGGAGCATGGTCTGAAGAATATGGACGAGGATCCAAAGAATATGGATGAGGACCAACGTACGACAACAGATGGGGACGATGCATCAGATGCTTACCTTGATCATCCTGTCGGTTTAATTCAGGTAACTCCTACTTATTTTCCTATTTTCCTTTTTGTATCATTTAGGACCTTGTGTTACATCATGTTATTTAATCTCAGGACCTTACGATCGGGAGACGGTCGGATGGCTTCGCAGTGGGTGATGCAGATGACCATGTATCTCGGGTGGGGGTAATTTAAGTAACCACTTTCTATAACGCTAGTATACACATGTGCTTCCATATTGTAATACGACTAATATTTTTTGTATATTAGGATCTCACTGTTGGTAGGCAAGAGTCGGATGTTCCATCAGATACGCAACCCGCCAAGCGACGCGTTAGACATCCCTATAAGGACTGGGCACCGGACACGATCGTTAAGGTAAACTTAATGTCATACATTTTGACAGTTGTCATTACGCGAACTTACGTATTTATTGTGTTTTAGGTTGAACCTTACCTTGACCAGGACCAATCTGACCTTCAGCAAGTCCCAATTGGGCATGGGCTACGCAAGCGCCCTTACTCGTGGAAGCTGAAGGATATATACATACCAACCGACCAGCGTGAGATCACCGTGGATAACTACAACCCAGTATGTCTCATTCCTCCGTAGTTAGACGATCAGTTCAAGAGATGGATGGATGACCCGAAGACCGACGGGAGATTGCGGTCCACTGCAATTGGTATGCAAAAGAAGGAATGGTATCGCGATCTATTGGAGCTTACTGTCGAATTGAAGGACGAAGTAAGTACATCTTACTCACTTCCTAGTACTATATTTCTCAATAGTTTGATTACATCAATGTGGATTGGTTAAATGTAATAGGTACTTGATGCTTTCGTCCTATTTACAGCGAAAAAGTTGGAGAAGTGTCTCCATCTTTGTCGCAAGAAGTTTGTGATAGGTGACGTACTTCTTTCGGTAAGTACTTTTTACCGCTCTTGGTTCAAATTAATAAAATACTTTTTGAATATTTGTGTAACTAATAAAATCCTTTTTCAATTCCTGTACAAACTCTGCTAAACCGAGCAGACGGTCCACATGCGGCCATGAAGCCGAGTAACCTGTCCACGAGAATCAAATACCCCTGGAACGAGGAGAAGACCATCTTCCGATGTCTACGATAGGAAGTCGAACCACAACGTGGCCTTGAGTGATGCAAACTTGGTGTACACCCTGATCAACGTAGCTGGAAACCACTAGGTGATGCTCGACATTGATCTTGTAAAAGGCGACATAACCGTATGGGATTCACTCCAAACAACCACTCCACTAGATGCACTTAAGAAGGAGCTGAAGCCCTTGTGTACGATCCTACCTACGGTGCTGCACCATGGCAGGATGTTTTCAGTTCGACCCGACTTGCCAGTGGTGCCGTGGAGGGTGCGTCGAGTTCGCGTACCCCAACAGAGTAGTGCGACTGATTGCAGGATTTTCTGTGTCCGATTTTTGGAGTACGATGTCACCGGGTCAAATATGGACATTTTGACCTAAGATAATATTATATATTTTAGGCATCAGTACATTGTACAGATGTGGGCGTGTCGTCCCATTTTTTGAATATTATATGTATTTTAGTATTGTTTTTTCTATGTCATGATTCATTCTCGTAGCATAATACATGAAACATATAAAAATACAATCTCCACATTAATAATAATAATAATAGAACACGTAGGGTTACCAATACATGCATGCATGATTGGTTGCTTGAGGTACAAGTTACCTTACAAATTTCTTTAAAATCAACAACAACATTATACATCCACACCGTGTTAAGGGGTTCACGGCATGTTTTAAGATTTTGTCCCGACGTACCACACCGACGACACTTATCTGTTTGATGCATCTCGTCCGTGGAAGGAATCCTAACTATCCGCCTTCTGCCAACTCTAAGAACTGTATTTAGTGGTTCCACCGGTGCGTCGACAAAATCTGGCGAACTGTTTCATGTTGAGACGTGTCCGACTAGAAATATTGGTTCTGCATAAGCCATTACTCAAGAGTTCGTCGTGTATGCCTTGTCACACAGAGTGTATGGATTTATGTTTTGCATCATCGCCCCGACAATAGCATGAGAGCATGAAATTTTAAAATAATCAAACTCCCGACAACTACATGTCCTAGGATTGAAATCAACAATCCCGTCAAGGTTGCCATCACGTACCTGGATATGAAACTGGTAGACGTTGACTACAACGTGCCTCCTGACACTGTCCGAGTATTCAGCAAACTTATTTTCTGCGTAGTCGGACAATGTGGTTGATCTGGAAGAGGCAAGCATCCGTCGATCGTAGAACCAAGTTTGTAATAGACCTCTAATATGGTCCAGTAAAGCAGTTACCGGCAACCTAGTCGCGTGCCTAAAGAGGGCATTTACGGACTCTGCGTTATTAGTGGTTATCTTGTGTACCTCAATTCTGTTTGGAAACAACGAGTCCAACGCTTCTTCCCAATGTCATCTAGGTATTCTCTCACACCAGGGTACACACCAAGTTGAGCCCATATTGAGTTGAAATAAGACTCTCGATATGCCTTCACAGCTTTTAGAAATAGTTCCTCGAGTGTCTTCGCATCGACTTTAAATTTTGCTAACAAGTTCATCTTAATATGTTGTATACAAAAGCAATGAAATGCAGTGGGAAATACCTTGTCAATTGCCTTACAAATGGTTTGATGTTTATCGGAAACGAAAACCAAATTGTTCACTACGTCGAGCGCATCTTTTATTTAAGTCATAAACCATACCCATGATGATACGGTCTCACAGTCGACAATAGCAAATGCTACCGGGTAAATATGGTTATTCGCATCCGCACCAGAAGCTGTTAACAATACCCCTTTGAACTTCCCCTTTAGGTGGGCCCCGTCAACAACCAACACTGGTCGAATATAATCCAGAAACCTTCTAATCGATTGACCTAAAGCCATAAAGACATATTTGAAATATTTGCCATCTTTCAATTCCAATTTGAAAATAGTACCTGAGTTCATGATTTTTAATGTTTCACCATAAGCTGGTAGTAGACCATATGACGATGTTGGATTCCCTCTAATAAGTCGAAGTACTTCTTCGCTAGACCGCCAAGCTTTTTCATAACTTAAATTGACACCATAATCCTTACTCATGTCTTGTATAATGTCCTTCGGTCTATACGTGCGGGAGATGTCTGTAAACTTCGCTTGGATAAGATGTCCGACCACCCAACTCTTGGTTTGCCTATGATCCTGTTTCAAAACTCCACCATTGCATGTATGGATGGTACACTATTTTTTAATCTTGATGAACAGATTGCAGTCTCTGAGCTTTGTAGCTCGAAGTCTCCAAGTGTAACTAGTATCAATGGAGCCCAGTGTATATAGTTTCGGTGTTCACTTTTTTACTTTAAACTGAAAATTCATTCGCATTGCAACTAAATGCATTTTCAAAATCAACTCCTCCTTTGTATCAAATATTTCGCCCTCCTTAACATCATTTGTTCCATAAGACTGTACTATGAGTTGCAACTTCTCATCATTAAGCTGTCTAGTGAGACCATCATACCCTCTTTGCTGGATCGCTGCTTCATCCCTGAGAATCTCAGTGTGTACCTGTTCCACAACGGGTTCAGACTCTTCATCAAGTGCATCGTCATAGTCTCCTTCTTCTGACTCTCCCAACGGGTCATATGATTCATGACTTTCATCTTCATTATTATTCCACAATTCTGACACATCCCAATCACATACCCTGTCATCTCCTAGGTTACATGGAACAACATCTGATTCAAATAGTGTTAAACCCGCTATATCATGACCTATATGCCCGTAGTAGGGGTGTGGCTGTTGGGAAGAAGAGGGGTTCGATGATGAGGAAGGAAATGATGGTATAAGATATTGGGTCTCTGAAATGGAGGAATACAAACTGTAGGCATAGGAATTGAGGATATGTTTTGGCCTCAATGATATGAGAAAGAAATGTACATTTCATTCTCATGTAGTTGCTTTGGCTCAGTAGATATATATATTGGCAATTCAGATACATCCTCACCAGTTAAAAAAAATTCAGGTCATTGTCATCAGTTATCTCCATTACACAAACATTAGTTTTAAAATGATACATGCGTCTAATTATAATATCAAACTGTAGGGGGTTTGTATTACTCAATCTATACACGTGACCTAGAAATTCTCCGTACGTGATTGTACTATCCACTGTCAATCCTCTCGTGCGACCACCGACGTAATCTTTTTCACTATCGTTCCATTCTCCACCAAATGTTATGAAAATACGAGTCATCCTGCAAATAGATAAAACCAAGTGAGATAAGAAAATTTATCATCGAAAAAAAAGTAATAAAAAATGAAAAAAAAAACAAATGTCATCCCGTACCGTCTCGGACCAGTCTTGGTTCGAGACATATCCCAGACAGTTGTGGTTCAGGATTGGTTCGGGATGTGTCCTGGTTCATGTCCCGAACCAAAATGAACCGAGATTAACTCGGATTAGTCCAGGATTGAATATTCAATCCCGGATCTATACTTGGTCCGAGATAACGATATGGATTTTTTTTCTTTTTTCAAAGATCCAATCCAGCAAATGTGAAAATGAATGGATGAGAAATATTTCAAATCATTTCAGAAATTTTAAAGTACAGTGTAACGTACCTAACTCTTCAAATGTGAAAATGTAGGGACAACGATTTTGGATAGTGTGGGGACAATGATCAAACACGTGACAATGTTTCTTTAGAGGATTTTAAAAAACGTGATCTGTGAGGATTTTGGATAGTGTGAGGATTTTGGATTGTTTCAAATTCAAAATATATGTAAAATATGAGTTTAAAGTTTGGTGAAATGGTTGAGTTGAAAGTTATTGTATCATAAATGCTATTTATTAATCATAAGAGTAAATTCGTCTTTTCACTAGAGGTAGGGTCACTGGTTAGATTTTTTCAAAAGGGTTCATTTATCTAATTTTAACTATTTGTGGGGTCACTAATTCCAATTTCCCCTCATGTTAAATGTAGATGTTATTTACTTAATTTTTGCATATTATAAATTTCTAAACTTCTAAAATTTTAAATTTTATGCTCATGAATATGTGACATGTACTTTAAAGGCATATATTAGTCGCGTTAGAGATTAAAATAAATATTTTAAAAAATTTTAATCACTATTATTTTTTTAGTTTAAGTCAGCTTTCAAAGACAAAATAAGTAAAGTTGAAATTGAAAGCCACGTCAAGATGAGATTTAAACTTCTTTTTTTCTTAACAAAAATATCATACTACAACATATACAAAGGTGGAGTTGGAATATATAAATACAATAGTACGATGAAGATATATATGTATATATATATGTTTATATCCATAAATGTTCCGCCAGCTTGTACTAATACATAGAACAACTCATCTCATTCTGCTATCTTACTTTTTAAATAAGATAAAAACAAGAAACTAAATAGAATTAAAGTCACAACAAACGAGGTAGGACAAGGGTTGTACCAAATACTCCATAGAAAAATTAATCCTTTCTATCGCTTGTTTCGATCGGCAACAATCTAAATCCAATCAAAATAATTCGTAGCTTTCCAATTTGTCATGTTAACATAAGAAGAATGAATATTAAAATCTAGAAAAATTAGCCATAAGTTTTTAACAAACCTGCATGTACAAACTATGTTTTGTTGTCGAGAAAATACATAGGAAATTAATTACTAAATATGTGACCATTATAAACTAAACTATCTTTAAATTAATACCAGTTATTTTAAATTTTGTTATTTGAATGATTTTCTAAAATAAAACTGGAAATTGAATTTTTATTAGTAGTCTCTCATTTACATGGCTACAAAAGAGGTCTCAACTCTCAAGACAACATTATTATTGTTGACATTTCTATTATGAATAGTGCAGCCCAAAAAAACGAATAAAATTCAAACTAAAAAACAATCCAACGAACAACAACAATAAATTCCTAATAATTTCCGAACAGATTCTGACTTCTATGAACACTTTAAAAAATCTGGAAACATTAATACCAAAATCATCTACTAGAAGTAGAAGTTTAAGCTAGAAAAAATTCTAACGCCGTCGCAACGTCTTGGTTTCCCGCCAGATGAAACGGCATCATCAGAGGCGGAGGCAAGCATTGGCAGTTTGCGGCCAGATTAAACGGCGCCGTCAGAGGAAGACGTCCGCGACCTCCCGCGAGACGAAACGGCGTCGTTGGAGGAGGCGGCGGAAATTGGTGGTTTCCAGCGAGATGAAACGACGTCGCAGGCGGCGGAGGAAGCGGCGGCGACAGAGGTAGAAATTGCGACGACTTTGTAGGCGGCGGAAATTGGTGGTTTCCAGCGAGATGAAACGGCGTCGCAGGCGGCGGCGACAGAGGACCGCCGATTCTCACCGCTGTCAGTTTCTCCACTCTCTCCTCCACTTTCGCTCTCAAATCCTGTAACGCCGATCGAAACTCCTTCAATTCCTCAAGTCTCATCCCTTCCATCGGCTCCTCCCACCAGAATCCGCCGCTACTCCTCGATTCCTCCGCCGCTCGTCTCTTCTGCACCTCCAATTCCCTCTCCGCATCGGCAAACTCGCGATTCAACTCCTCCACAGGGACATATCTCTCCACCGGCTGCGGCGGCGCCAAATTTCCTGTCAGAAATCGATCAAAAAGCACATCAACATTCGGATGACCGAAGGAAAAAACCTTACCGTTCGGAGAAAACACGACGATCGCGATATCCACTCCGCATAGAACAGAGAGCTCCGCGGCCTTCTTGAAAAGTCCGGTCCGGCGCTTAGAAAACGTCACTTGCTTGCTACTCTTCTTCTCTAGCTTCTTAATTTCGATCTTCTGACGGCCTAGGGTTTTCTTCATCGCAATCAGATGGAAGCAAGCTTGGAGCGTTGGCTTTAATGGCTGCCGGCGATCCAGAAGGAGAGGCAGAAATCGAAGCCCTCAGAAGTGGCTTCGATTGATTCAGCAATCGTTTCGTGAAATCGCGATGAAGATGGAGCGTTTTCTTAGAGAAATCGATCGATACTTTGAGGAAAACGGGTTCTGTTCATCGGCAAACTTCAAGTTTCAGAACTTTGGTGGTTTGTTACCGTTACAATGTTCAGAAAGCGCGCCTTTGTAGTTATTTTTTCCCCCCTAAAAAATCCTTAAAAACAGGTTCCTGATTTTAAAATAATGTTTTAAATTGGACAAAGTTTTTAAAATAAATTACAAAATAATCTTAGTTTAAAAAAAACTACAAAATAAATGTAATTTAAATAAATAAATAAATTCAAAAGTAAGTTAGGTTTTCAAAACAATTGACAAAAATAGGTTAGGTTAAAATCAAACTCGCGTACAATGTCTGCCGTTTCCGTATAAACGTGGCATGTGATTGGGTGAAAATCGCGTACATTGTACGCGACTTTCACCTTTTTATTTATTTTTTTTGGAAGTTGTACGCGACTTCCACCTTTTTATTTTTTTTTTGGTTTTATTTTATTTATATATTGTTATTTTATTAATATTGCGAAATTTAATTAAGATATGATTAAATTTTTTGTTTTTTGTTTTTTTTTATTTTAAATTTTGATTAAAATTCACTTAAAGTCTAAAAGTTTAAACTTATATTAAAATCAATTCGATGATTACAATGTCATTTAGCTTCTTGTGTTTCATCTTCGTATGTTCTATAAAATAACATTTAAATTTAATATAAACTAAATTGATAAAAAATTATTAAATTAATAAAACCATAAAAGTAAAGGTATAAATTACATGAAACTCACATGTTTTGTCATTTACATCGCGAAATACATGCCTTTAAAACAAAAACTAAATTTTGGGATATGTATAATTAGGGTTTTATTTGTTTTACAATTATTTTGTTTTAAATTATTACATTATAGGAATATGTCCATCATGTGGTAGGTAATTAAGAACTACTTTCCAAATATGGAGAAAATTAACATGATAGTATTTTTCTTATGGTTTTTTAAAAGAAAATATTAAAAAAAAACCAAAGGGATATTGGTGGGAAGTTGCAGGGCTACAACTTTTAAATTCAAAATATAAAAATAAAAAATAAAAATAAAAGAGGGAGTGGGGGAGTGGTCATGGCTGCCCCTCCCAAATTTAACCAAAAAAAAACAAAGGAAGTCGACTTCCAAATTCAAAATAAAAAAATAATAAAAAAGAACAAATAGCCCGTCAGCAAATACGTGGCTTTATTTGCGCCACATCAGGCAGAAGTCGCAGCCACGTAAATAAGCATCAGCCAACATGCTGACATATTCCTAAGAAGTCGCAGTCGTAGCAAATACGTGGCTTTATAATTATTGGCTTTATTTACGTTTTTTTCTTTAGTGCTCCGATTGTATTAAATATCTGTCAACATGCTGACATTTGCATGTATCCATACATTCAACATCGACATGAGAGATAAATCAACATTTTCATAATATTGACAATATAAAAAATATCAACAAAATCTCACTAATATAAATATAATATTAATACTAATTATTTTTAACTTATTTAGAAATTAAAATGTTTATTTGTTAATTTAAATAGTTTTTACACATTTTTATTTTTATAACGTTTACATAAATATCGACATTGATATTTAAAATCTTGATTACTCCAATTTACTATTTCTTATTTCTTCATCCTTTATCATTTTTAACCTAAACATATTCTATAATTTTAAATTGAAAAAAAGGTTTATATGAAAAGTAAAATTTTAAATTAAATATTCAATTTTTTAGGTTTGGTTTATTTTTTTAATATTTATTATGTATTTTCTAAGTCAATAATTATAAAGTAATGCTTATTTATGTTTTGAAAAAAACAAAAAACGAGAACAAAAAATAACCAAACTTGATTGATGTTTGGAAAGGTTAACATTACTAATTATTAAATATAATTATTCGCAAACTATTTTTAAAAGTTTTGGTGTTTCTCTTGAAAAAACCATCTTGTTCCATTCACCAAATACGAACTTTTATGTGTCAAAAATTCTCTTTTCTTCTGAAATAAAATAATTACTATTAAAAAATTATAATTTATGTTTTTTTTTGTTAAAATAAATAATAATATTGTATTGCCTAACAAATTAAAAACTATATATCTACAATATGAAAACACTAGAGCTCGAATATCAAAATGATTATGTTATTTAAATATTATTAAAGTCGTCTCTTGAATAGGTAAAATAGGATTTTTGTAAAATAAAAATATAATAATAGAAGACATGTTGCACTACGTATAGAGGTCGTCAAATACCTTTTGATGCATTAGATAGGGTCGTCTCTTCTAAAGACACTTATGGATAAAACGATTAAAACAACAATATTCTGTTTACAGAAAGTCGAAATAGAGGCAGATCAGTTTCGAGGTAAGCAAAAACCAAACATCAATAAAGACCAAAGCTGTCTAGGTACCTTTTATTTTTATCTGACATGTGACCTGAAAAAAAATAGTCACGAGGTTTTTAGAAGAGAGTTTTTGTTTTTTTTTTATCAATTTCTAACTTCGAATTTTCTTTATTTCTATTTAGAGGGCTTTCGCTCTTTTTCCAACCAATCGCAATTTTAAAAGGAGTGTTGCAAATTATTACATTTTTATAATATTATATTTTTTAAAAAAAGGTCATAGGCTTAAGGGGATAACTATCACATAAAGTTTGTGGCAATAGCAGCCCCCTCAAATAAAAATAGCATTTCCAACCCCTCAAATTTTGCCCCTCTTTTGTTTCTTTTCTCTTCAAAATTTATCCCCATTCTACCCCCCACATTTCATGTTCATAATAATTTATAATTGGAGAACTCCCCATTTTTCTATTTCATCTCACTTCTTTTATATTTTTTCAAATAAAAATAAGATTAAATTACTAGCTGATATTTTAGAGTTAGTATCTACATTTTCGAACTTTACAGAATGTCCGTTTAGTTCTTTAAATTTCTGTGTCCACTATGTTTTTGAATTTTGAAAATGTTTAATAGATCAGTGACCAAAAGGTCGTGAATTCAAATATCCACTCTCACATGTTGTTATGTTAGAAGGTAAAAAAAGATTTCTTATAAACTATGTGAAAGTAGAGATCGAACATTAAACCTCAAGAAAAATAATAAGTATCTTAATTTATCTAGCAATTTTAATTTCAATTTAGTATGTATATTTCATTAAACTATGCTCGTTTTGGTTTATAATCTCTATCATTTAACTATAACTTAAATCTAATTTAATAAGTAACCTATAGTTGCACTCCGAAATAGTTGTATAGAAATATATAATCACGTGCACTATATATTTGGTTACACTTTAAAATAGGATTATTTTATTATTATTATTATTATTTAAACTACTTTAAAATAGCATTATCAGTCCTTACTTTCTCCTTTATGCTTTTCATATTAGAATAATGTTTTGAAAATCAATATAAAGTTGAGGCCTTTCCATAATTGGTCACATTTTCATATTATTAAAGTAAAATATCACGTCAAACATAATTCATCCCACCGCATTATCGAAAAGTGGAGTAGGCAAAAAGAAATAAATATATATTTAAAAATTGGATTATTCCAAATTTATCTGTAGGCTTAAGTGGGTGTAACTGTACTATCACGAAAATATCTTAGATATTCTTTCTATTTATCTTATATTAAAATGATAAAATTACTAATTTTTTTTTAGTAAAACATGACAGGGAGAAGATTTGAACTCACAACCTAATATATATCTGCGAGCTATATTCATGAATAAAATATGACACTAGTACTATATATACATATATTTTTTTAAGAAATACCCGACTTTACCTACTGGTAACTTATTGTGTTTAAGGTATTAAAAAAAAGCCTTAATTGTGTTTAATTGTTACTAATTTACTACGTCGTTTGTAATATTTTATATTTTATCTCTTTCGATCTCTTGAGTTTAAAATACTCAAATATTATTTTCATGATAAATGTTTTTTTTTGTTGTGTTTTATATTGTATGACTAATTGTTTTGATTGTATTTGAACTTTTGGGACCTAACATTACAGAATAAAAGGTCAAGATCTTGTAACCTAATGCTCGTTATTGTCAATTGTCGTACGAGAGATTTTAAGAATTTATTTGTTATATTTGTTCAAATGGCTATGTAGTGTAAACTTTTAATGTTTTCGTTGAATTAGGATTTTTACGTTGGTTTGAATGACTATGGATGATCAACTTTTAAGAACGGAAGCTATTGATGATAAACTTTTAAGATTTGAATGATCAGTGATTTGGTAATTTTTTTCAGTCAAATTTTCTTTAAAAAAATGCAACTTGATAATCAAATCCAACCCAACTCGAAAATTTTGAGTTGAGTTGATCATTAAATTTGATTCTTTCAATTTCCTGATATGGCGATCAATCCGAAAATTCGAATTAGTTCAAAAAATACTTCTAAACCCAATTCAATTCAACCCGTAAACACTCGAGTAGTTCGAATAGTAAACCATATAATCATTACAACCTACCATTTCCAACCCAAATTTGCCGACTTTTGTTTCTTCCCTCTTGAAAATTTACCGCCAATCTACCCCACATTGAAATGCATGTTCATTATATAATTTATAATTGGAGAAGCTTGTCAACTTTCTATTTGATCTTGAAAAGCTATTCAAACCAATAAAAATAAAATAAAACTAATTGTTCCTCAACTCATAAAGTTGTATCAAATAGTAAGAGATATTTTATGAATTTGTGTTAGATAGAACTATGTTTTAATTAAATGGTTCCAAAAAGCCAATCGAAAATTCTAAACAATTAACTCAATCTATAGAAATTGGGTTTGAGTTTAAAATTAATTTTAGTTAGAAATATAAATGAGTTAAAAGAGAATTTTAAGTTAATAATAAATTTATTAAAATTATGATTATATATTATCATCGGTTAAGCTGTATCAACTTGGTGGATTCTATCCAATTAGGTAAAAAAGTGAACCCGATCAAACTCAAATAGTTTTCAATCCATATGTTGATGGGATTTTTTGGTTTTTTTAAACACCCATATCGTCTAATAGGTCATTGAAGTTTTAAAAGTTATATATTAG